GCCACAGTTGAGACAGAAATCCTTCCCTGCGAACCTTTTGTTCCCTGAATGGTGGCCCAGTGTCATGAAGCCCCTGGCTTAGAATGGAGAAAGAGGAGGAGACAGAATGGCTCCAAAAGGAAAAGTTCCTCACTGGGTGGAACTTTTGCAGGGCAGCAGACCAGAAGCAAAGCCCTGGGTTTTGTTGGAGGAGGGGAAAGCATTGGCCATTTCACCCCTGGCCTATATGGGGCTGCACAGATGACCCCACCATATGCAATAAGGGCACAGCCTCTGTGGTTTTGAGAGTGTTTGGAATGGCAGTCTCACTACCTAGTTGGGCCTGCCTTCCTCTTCCTGTGAAGACACTGCAGCTTTCAGAGGTCAGGAGCTCTGAGATAGGGGTGCTGGGCTAAGGAGAGGTCGCTATGCCCCACCCTGAGCTGCCACCCTCGCCTACTCCAGTGGGCAGTCCCCTCAACATGGAAGTGGCGCTCCACCCTGATCGCCTTGGATATCTGTTCCTCCCAGGCTGCTGGGAGGTCAGGCATGGGAATCTGAACTATGAGTCATCGGCGACTCAGTAGACTACAGATATAAAAAAATAATCAAGCATTTCATACCCATCGGACTAGCAGAAAATTATAAAGTCTGACGCTACCAAGTGATGAGGAACAATGGTGACTTTCATGCTCTGCTGGTGGGACCAGGGAAGGTCCAGGTTTAGCCTGAAGCTTAAACAACTGGGGGAACCATCTTTATAAAGAATCAAAATTAGTCAGAGTCTTGGAAGGGGCTTGAGTAAGTGGAAGTCTTGAACTTAACATCATCAGCTTCCCAGTAAATCTGCCCCTGGGGTATGTAAATTGGAACTACTCTTTTGGACGGCGATGTGGTAACATATGGGAAAATGAGGATGTGGATATCCCCTGTCATCCAGCAAGTCAAATCCTCCGTGTGTTTCTGGGAGAAATTTCCAACACGTAACTACAGAGGCAAATATGAGAATGTTCTTGGCAATGCTGTCTGCAGTAGCTAAAGGCAGCAAATCGGAACTATCCAAAATGTCTATTAACAGAAGACTGGATAAACAAAGTCAATATGTATGAATCTCAAAACATAATGTTGCCCGGAAAGCATGTTGCAGAAGAATATGTACTGTACGCTGACATTTTCATAAAGTATAAAAACATGTAAAGCAATGCCATGTGTAGTTCATATGTGTGCAGTAAAAGTCCAAACTGTGCTCGGCAGTGATCACCACATTCAGCCTACAGGTGCCCTGAGTACAGAGGGAGAGAGAGAATAAGGTAAGAGAAGGGTGTCTAGGGGGCTTAGATGCCATCTGAAAGCTTCATTCTCTTAATACATAAAAGCAAATAAAGCAAAATATTAAGATTTGACAAAGTTGGGCAATAATTATGTGGGTGTCTGTTAAAATATTATATATAGGGAATAGGGGAGGGACAGCGCGGGGGGGAGGGGGGAGGGATAGCCTGGGGAGAAATGCCAAATGTGGGTGAAGGGGAAGACGGCAGCAAAACACACTGCCCTGCCATGTGTGTACCTATGCAACTATCTTGCATGATCTGCACATGTACCCCAAAACCTAAAATGCAATTAAACAAAAAAAGAAAAAGAAAAAGAAAACAATACATAACAAAAAAAAAAATTATATATACTCTTCTGTGGCATTTGAAATATTTCTAATTGTTTTCATTTTTTAAAGTTGAGGTAAAATTCACATATCATCAAACCAACCATTTTAAGTTGACAGTATAGCGGCATTGTACAGTCATGATGCCATGCACCCACCAACTCGATTTAATTCCCAAACATTTTCATTACCGCCAAAAGGAAACCCCGTAGCAATTAAGCAATTGCTCCCCTCAGTCCCTGGCAAATCACCAGGGTTTGTGTTCCGTCTCTATGGATTTATCTATTCCAGATATTTAATATAAATGGAATAATACACTATATGACTTTTTGTGCCTGGTGTCTTTTGATTAGCACAGAGTTTTCAAGGCTTATTAACTTTATAGGACATTTCAGTACTTCGTTCCTTTCTATGGCCAGATAGTATCCATCATTTGGATATGTCGCACTTTGTCATTCAGTTCATTGCTGATGGACGGACGCTGGGCTGTGGGTTATTGTGAAGAGTGCTCCTATGAACATGCATGTGCCGGTACTAAATTTGAATCCTTTAGTTATATCCCCAGGAGTGGAATTTCTGGGTCAGAGGGTAATTTTTTGAGGGACCATCAAACTGTTTTCCACAGTGGCTGAACCATTTTACATTCCCACCAGCAGCACACAAGGGTTCCAGTTTCTCCACATCCTGGCCGATACTTGATGTTTTCCATTTTTTGGATAGTAGCTATCCTAATGGGTGTGAAGTGATATCTCATTGTGATTTTTAAAATTTATTTACTTATTTACTTTTTTGAGACTGAGTTCTTACTCCATTGCCTAGGCTGGAGTGCAGTGGCGTGATCTCAGCTCACTGCAACCTTTGCCTCCCAGGTTCAAGCAATGCCTGTGCCTCAGCCTGCTGAGTAGCTGGGTCTATAGGCATGAGCCACCAAGCCTGGCTAATTTTTTTTTTTTTTTAATTTTAAGTAGAGACAGGGTTTCACCATGTTGGTCAAGCTGGTCTCAAACTCCTGACCTCAGGTGATCCACCCACCTCGGGCTCCCAAAGTGCTGGGATTATAGGTGTAGCCACCTCGCTCAGTCTCATTGTGATTTTAGTTTTGTTTTCCTAAAGCCTAATGATGTTAAGCATCTTTTTATGTGCATATTGGCCATTTGGATATCTTCTTTGTGGAAACCTCTGTTCAAGTTCGTTGTCCATTTTCTAACTTGGTTGTCTTTTAGTTGTTGAGTTGTAATATTCCATAATTAAAAAAAATACTCTCCTGGGGTGGTCAGTGCCTTCTTAGATCCTCTAATTCTCTACTCCTTCCACACATCAAATATATACAGCTTCATATTTACAGTCCATGCAGAGGAGAACTGAGAGGCTTGGAGTCAGCTTTCTCCTCTTCTCTCCCAGGCATCTGCGAGCCCACCCCTAACCTAGAGCGTGAGGAAGACACCAGGAGATGACTACGCATTGAGGGTCTCCTGGGAAGTGAGGAAGGGAGGTAGAGAACAGGGGTGAGGTGGATAAGTGACTTTCTAAGACAGCTGAGAGAAGCTTTCTGGGCGAGGAAGAAATTCTTTCCTCTTGAAGCCAAAAAGCCATGCTGGAGGAGCAAGCTGCCAGTTGTGGATGGCTTCAAGGTTTCTCACAGCCCTGTAATCTCTGTAGCATTGGTGGGTTGGGTTGGAGCCTTTGGCCCCCTTTCCTGCAGATGAGGTCTAACTGGACTGTTTCTACTTGCAAGGGCACTCACTCTTTCTTTTTTTTCTTTCTTTTTTTTTTTTTTTTGAGACGGCGTTTCGCTCTTGTTACCCAGGCTGGAGTGCAATGGCGCAATCTCGGCTCACCGCAACCTCTTCCTCCTGGGTTCAGGCAATTCTCTCGCCTCAGCCTCCCGAGTAGCTGGGATTACAGGCACGCGCCAGCATGCCCAGCTAATTTTTGTATTTTTAGTAGAGACGGGGTTTCACCATGTTGACCAGGATGGTCTAGATCTCTTGACCTCGTGATCCACCCGCCTCGGCCTCCCAAAGGGCTGAGATTTCAGGCTTGAGCCACCGCGCCCGACCTCACTCTTTCTTATATGCTGAACTTCTAAAAGAAGGCCAGAGGGGGTCGGCTCTCTGTAAATGGTGGAGCTAGGTTCATTGGCATCCAGGGATTTTTCTAAATTTAACTGCTTGGATTCTGCCAATCCCTAGGATTTCAAATCACTAGTTCCATCCAGGTTTGGGTTCAACTCGACTTTCACCCCAAGTTCAATGACAACCCTGCTCACAGAGCTGTGGCCCTCTTAACCCCTGCTCCCAAGCCCTCCTTAGATGAACTGACCTGACCTACCCTTTGGTACTCACGCCCTCCCCTCCAATCAGGCAATAACAACCTGGGGTCCAATTTTTAAAGTCAGGCTCCGACATTTTCTTTCCTACCCAACTATCCACACCGATGCTTCTGAGGCAGGGGTGCCGGAAAACGTGTCGCTGAGGCGATGATGTACCAAATCCACATAATATACAAAGCACACCCCTCCCAGTTGAGGGCGAGCGGCCCCCAGAAAGTTGAGGCTGAGGGAGGTCACTTCAGCCTCGCGACGCCGTGAGTGCTGATCAGGAGCCCTCAGTAGGAAGCGCTTTTCCGCAGTCTCAGGCGGAGACCCTGTGCGCAAGGCGGGACCAACAGCAGGTGCAGAGGCCTCGGAGCTGCCCAAGGTCAGCCGAGGCGCGCGGATCGCTCTCGCCCGCCCATCTCGTCCACTCCCACCCCACACAAGAGGCAGAAGGACTACGGCCGAGCAAACGACGGCCTCAGTTTCCTCATTTCCAGATCGAATTGGTCGCAAATACGTGAAACTTTAAAAGGCCAGAAGAAAATAAACCGGATTCAGCTCCCTCTCGTCTCCGAATCTCGGTTGGTAATACTAACATTTCTTTTGATGATTTTTTTTTAAATGAAACCTCCTTCCTTGAAAAAGCCGGGCACTTCTACCCAACCGCCCGAAGGGCGGCTTGAGCTTCGGTGGCGCTGCGCTTGCCAAGTGGGCCACACGCGCAGCTTTGGAACCGGCGCACCAAGAACTGTCCCCACCTGGCCCTCTGCCAACATCTGACCCAGGTTGCGAACCCGGTTTTTCCTCCATAGTCCCGTAGACTGTTCCACTCATTCCGTTGGTCTAGAAGGGGGCAAACGACCAGAGATGGGAGGGGACTTTACTGGCTTAGTCCCCGCCCTGCCCTTGCTGCCCCGCGGCTCCCAGGACCTCCACTGCTCCCAGGACCTGCGCAGCTCTCGGATCCAGCCCGACAGCTGTGCGGGGTGCCCGCGAGAACGCAGGGCTCAGCCCGTCCCCTCCTTTCCCCGACCGCAAGTCACTCACAAACTCAAAGATGAAGAGCAAGTCAGGGAAGGTGGTGAAGACCGAAAAGCCACTGGGCAGGGTGCTACCCCCCGACGCCGCTGCGGGGGCCATGCCGGTGTGCTGGCTTCGGCCTCGGGACTGGACGCGCGCCGCTCAGGCTCCGCGCAGATCTCTTGCTTGCTCCGCGGAGCCTCGTGGCCTGGGCGCCCCCACGCGCGGGTTAAGAGCAGGGGAGCCCGAGGCAGAAGTGGGAGGAGCCCTGGCCGCCGCCCAGCCCCGCCCCTCCGTCCCGGGGGACCCGGCCCGAGCACCGCGGGCACCGCCCTGAACCACTTCGAGGGCGGGCTGCGGGCTGCAGAACTGAGGACGGTGGTCCTGACTCTTGCGTTCCAGCCCTGGGTACCACCTCTTGCGGGAAGCAGGGCAAAAGCACTTTGGTCAAGCGCTCCTCACGCTTTTCTAGCTTGGTAGGTGAGCAGCGTCTCATAAGAATGATAACTATCAGTAACCAGGACCCCAAATCTTCCCACCGAGGCACCCCTCCAGTCACCAGTGCTTTAACTTTGAAGTTGGGTCTCCTTCATCTTTCCGCTGGATGCATTAATATCCGTTACCCACACCTCCAGGAGGTTTCCTGGCCGAATGGGACCACCGCCTCAGGCTGGGGTTCTACCGTGGGGGCTGGGACCGGCCTCGGCCGCCTGCTCCTTCCGCGTCCACCTAGCCAGCGCAGAGACCATGCACTGCCTCTCTACTTGGTGCTGCGCGTCTGCCTGAGGGTAGCAGGTTGCTCCCAGCCGCGCCGGCCCCAGGAGAAGGCTGTGGGTGGTATTGCTGGGGCAGGTCTGCCTTGAATCCATGGGACAGGAAAAGACGTTACCAGAGGAGATGCATCGCTTTCTCCTGTTCTGGGCAGCACAGCCCTTCGGAGGGTGGGACCGCTGCTACCCCCAGCCCCGTGTTCTTTGCCTGACTGTTGACTGCCGGCATTTCCTGTTTTGTTTTCCTGTTTCACTATTCATTAGTTTTTGTATTTTGCCTTTAAGCAAGTATTACCATACAGCAGTTGCCCATTTATTTTAATTTACTAATAATAGTATGATTGCTGTGTTTTCTCTTAGTATAGTATGATTGCTGAAGCCTAAAATCTGCTCCAGCCCGGATCCTCTCCTGCCAAGAGGGAATTGGCCCCGCAGCCTCCAGCTCAGACTCCCAACTCTCCTTGCTTTCCCCTGGCAACTGCTGCAGGCAGAGCAAGGGGCTCCCTTCTATCCACTGGGGCCCGCACTCTCCCCGATGCACAATTCTTCCTCCTTCTCAGTCCCTAGGGAGAGAAGTACATTCCTGGACCCATTTCCCAAAGCAAAAGTAGCATGCCCATGAGCTGGCCATTCTAACTGCTCCTGTAAAGGGGTCAGGCATTTGAAATGAGGAAAGCCCACTGCTCCTCTGTGAGCTGCCAGCCTGGATGGCCACAACCAAGGTGCCATTGTGTCAGGTCCCCAGGGCAGCATCCTTCGAGACACAATGGGCTGTGGGACTGTCAGGAGCCCAGGTCCTCACCCGCCTTGGACATCTCATAGCTCATTTGTTGGACCTGCTGGCCTCTGAGAGGACATTTTCCTCCCCGAGAGACAGTTCTGGAAACAAACCTTAAAGCGAGGTGGTCACAGGACGTCGTTGCCTGCCGGGGGTGAGCTGACCCGCAAGCAGTCAAGCAAAGCTTCTTGGAGATTTCCTATCAGCACATACTAAATTAAAACAGAAAGATCCTATCAGCTCCTAATAATGTCTTTGCCTGGCCTTGAGGGCTTTTGTTTGTGGTTTGGTTTGGTGTTTTGCTGCTTCTTTCAAGCCTTTGCTGCTAACCCTTTCCTACTGAGCCTGAGCCTCTGGGGAAAGGGCTCACTCCATGGGGCACCTCAGGGGAGCTCTGCAGTCCCAGCCCTCCTTTGATAAGGCAGAGGGGCATCAGTCTCTGAAAGAGGCTACAGAGAATGAGGAAGGCAGCCCAGCCAGGGTCAAGGGGTTTGTCCCTATCTCTGTGACCTCCTCCTCCCACCTGGAGTTCTCCACTAGATGTTCATCTTCCTGACTGGACTCTACCCTCAGAAGGGCATCCTCTAACCAACCCCATCTGCCACTCTTGTTCCCTACCCTAGCCTATCCTTAGCACCCAAGCAGGACTCAGTCTCTGGTGAGTGCACATTAAACCTTAGCCAATGCTGGATGGCTCCAGCCTTATCTGTGCCTGACCACCAGTGGGGGAAGTGTAAGCACCTTGTTTGGGTGTAAAAGCACTGGTCAGCAGAGAGGCACTGGTGATAGAAAGACATTGGTAAGAGAGAGGCATTGGTGAGAGAGCGGCATCGGCGAGAGAGAGAGAGAGAGAGAGGCATTGGTGCGAAAGAGGCATCGGTGAGAGAGAGGTATTGGAGAGAGAGGCACTGGTGAGAGAGAGGCACTGGTGAGAGAGAGGGCATTGGTGAGAGAGAGGCATTGGTGAGAGAGAGAGAGGCATTGGTGAGAGAGAGAGGCATTGGTGAGAGAGAGGCATTGGTGAGAGAGAGAGAGGCATTGGTGAGAGAGAGAGAGGTATTGGTGAGAGAGAGAGGCACTGGTGAGAGAGAGGGCATTGGTGAGAGAGAGAGAGGCATTGTTGAGAGGGAGGCATTGGTGAGAGAGAGGGCACTGGTGAGAGAGAGGCATTGGTGAGAGAGAGAGAGGCACTGGTGAGAGAGAGGGCATTGGTGAGAGAGAGGCATTGGTGAGAGAAAGGCATTGGTGAGAGAGAGGCATTGTTGAGAGAGAGGCACTGGTGAGAGAGAGGTATTGGAGAGAGAGGCATTGGTGGGAGAGAGAGACGCATTGGTGAGAGAGAGAGAGGCATTGGCGAGAGAGAGGCATTGATGAGAGAGAGGTATTGGAGAGAGAGTGAGGCACTGGTGAGAGAGAGGTATTGGAGACAGAGAGAGGCATTGGTGAGAGAGAGAGAGGCATTGGAGAGAGAGAGAGGCATTGGTGAGAGAGAGGCATTAATGAGAGAGGCATTGGTGAGAGAGAGGCATTGGTGAGAGAGAGTGGCATTGGAGAGAGAGAGAAGCATTGGTGAGAGAGAGGCATTGGAGAGAGAGAGGCACTGGTGAGAGAGAGGGCATTGGTGAGAGAGAGGCATTGGTGAGAGAGAGGCATTGGTGAGAGAGAGGCATTGGTGAGAGAGAGGCATTGGTGAGAGAGAGAGAGAGGCATTGGTGAGAGAAAGAGAGAGAGGCATTGGTGAGAGAGAGAGAGGCATTGGTGAGAGAGAGAGAGAGAGGCATTGGTGAGAGAGAGAGAGGTATTGGTGAGAGAGAGAGGCACTGGTGAGAGAGAGGGCATTGGTGAGAGAGAGAGAGGCATTGTTGAGAGGGAGGCATTGGAGAGAGAGAGGGCATTGGTGAGAGACAGGCATTGGAGAGAGAGAGAGAGGCATTGGTGTGAGAGAGAGAGAGAGGCATTGGAGAGAGAGAGGCATTGATGAGAGAGAGGCATTGATGAGAGAGAGAGGCATTGGAGAGAGAGGCACTGGTGAGAGAGAGGCATTGATGAGAGAGAGAGGCATTGGTGAGAGAGAGGTATTGGAGAGAGAGAGGGCATTGGAGAGAGAGAGGCATTGGTGAGAGAGAGGCATTGGTGAGAGAGAGGCATTGGTGAGAGAGAGGCATTGTTGAGAGAGAGGCATTGGTGAGAGAAAGAGAGAGAGGCATTGGTGAGAGAGAGAGGCATTGGTAAGAGAGAGGGCATTGGTGAGAGAGAGGCATTGTTGAGAGAGAGGCATTGGTGAGAGAAAGAGAGAGAGGCATTGGTGAGAGAGAGAGAGAGAAAGGCATTGGTGAGAGAGAGAGGCATTGGTAAGAGAGAGGGCATTGGTGAGAGAGAGGCATTGTTGAGAGAGAGGCATTGGTGAGAGAAAGAGAGAGAGGCATTGGTGAGAGAGAGGCATTGGTAAGAGAGAGGGCATTGGTGAGAGAGAGGCATTGTTGAGAGAGAGGCATTGGTGAGAGAAAGAGAGAGAGGCATTGGTGAGAGAGAGAGAGAGAAAGGCATTGGTGAGAGAGAGAGGCATTGGTAAGAGAGAGGGCATTGGTGAGAGAGAGGCATTGGTAAGAGAGAGGGCATTGGTGAGAGAGAGGCATTGTTGAGAGAGAGGCATTGGTGAGAGAAAGAGAGAGAGGCATTGGTGAGAGAGAGAGAGAGAAAGGCATTGGTGAGAGAGAGGGCATTGGTGAGAGAGAGGCATTGGAGAGAGAGAGGCACTGGTGAGAGAGAGGCATTGGTGAGAGAGAGGCATTGGTGAGAGAGAGGGCATTGGAGAGAGAGAGGCACTGGTGAGAGAGAGGCATTGGTGAGAGAGGCATTGGAGAGAGAGAGGGCACTGGTGAGAGAGAGGCATTGGAGAGAGAGAGGCATTGGAGAGAGAGAGGCATTGATGAGAGAGAGGCATTGATGAGAGAGAGGCATTGGTGAGAGAGAGGCATTGGAGAGAGAGAGGCACTGGTGAGAGAGAGGCATTGGTGAGAGAGAGGCATTGGTGAGAGAGAGGGCATTGGTGAGAGAGAGGCATTGGTGAGAGAGAGGCATTGGTGAGAGAGAGGGCATTGGAGAGAGAGAGGCATTGGTGAGAGAGAGGCATTGGTGAGAGAGAGGGCATTGGAGAGAGAGAGGGCATTGGTGAGAGAGAGGCATTGGTGAGAGAGAGGGCATTGGAGAGAGAGAGGCATTGGTGAGAGAGAGGGCATTGGAGAGAGAGAGGGCATTGGTGAGAGAGAGGCATTGGTGAGAGAGAGGCACTGGTGAGAGAGAGGCATTGGAGAGAGAGAGGGCATTGGTGAGAGAGAGGCATTGGTGAGAGAGAGGGCATTGGAGAGAGAGAGGGCATTGGTGAGAGAGAGGCATTGGTGAGAGAGAGGCACTGGTGAGAGAGAGGCATTGGTGAGAGAGAGGCATTGGTGAGAGAGAGGGCATTGGAGAGAGAGAGGCATTGGTGAGAGAGAGGGCATTGGAGAGAGAGAGGCATTGGTGAGAGAGAGGCATTGGTGAGAGAGAGGGCATTGGAGAGAGAGAGGCATTGGAGAGAGAGGCACTGGTGAGAGAGAGGCATTGGTGGGAGAGAGGGCATTGGTGAGAGAGAGTCATTGGAGAGAGAGAGGCATTGGTGAGAGAGAGGCATTGATGAGATAGAAGTATTGGTGAGGAGAGAGAGAGAGGCA